GTCAATACTTAATAGAATAGACTTGTGAGCAAACAGGACATAGGACGTTAAAAAAGGCAGTCTGCCTTCCCTGGCCGACTCCAGGTTGTGATGGCGCGCCGTCCAAACACCTTAGTAACAGTCACACGAACACCATGTATTTGAGATATAGACAGTGCTCGCAGTCTACTCCTCTCCTCCCCCTCCCGCTCTCAGCTCCAGCGTCCTCAACACACGGACTTCGTTATGCAAGCGACATGTGAACGGAGAGTATGATTTACCGCCTCCCCCCTCCAAGACAACTTTAGGACCTGTACATAGCTCACAGTTTCACCATCCAGGTAATTGTAGCGGCCTGATGACGAATATCTGAAAGCAATATGTTTGCCAATTGACTTTCTAAATGGAACCAAATTTCAGGCTACGTGTCCGTTCGGGAAGCCCAATCAAGTGGTTTTAGCACGCGAGGCAATCGTCTAAAAGACTGTTGATTTAACCAAGAAAGACTGGCCCTCGGAGCTAAAAACAGTTAGGTACAGAACGCTTAAGTGATGAACGACTTTTCTTATCTGAAGGGGAAGGTCTGCTATAGCCTTTTTTCTGAGAGTTTATTCGTTTCGAAATGAAATATTTTAGCCATACGCAGTTGAAAGAATTTTAGAATGCTCGAAAATATGAAATACACGCCTCACGAAAACTATTTTGTGGTGCACTTTGAATAAATTTCAGATAGACCAAATCATTTAATAATGTCAGTTCATTTGGCTGTCAGTGAGGATGCAAAAGGAACACCGCAAACGTAGTAACTCTCAATTTCTACGTCTTCCCTAAATGAAGAGCACGGGGAACAATAAAAACCATGAAAGTTTGCCTTTGCATCTACAATTATCATAAGTCAGTTCAGATAATTGTTTACCTGTAGGTAAATGCTCAGAAAACCATACGTAGATATAAACTGAAATTGTACAGCGGGCTCACTGGAACTACTTATTCCGATGACCAATTAATAAACCCATTAACCGCCGAATCCTTATGACAGAGAACCCAAATATTGCTGGCTAAAGACGGCTGACACGCCCGTAATTATTTTAACTGCGTTCGTAGCTGAACGAGGCACAGCATTTTTAATAAAAAAAACCAGAGTAAATTAACAGAATACTCAGGGAGATACTGAAAAAAGTACAAGAGAGACCAGGATGGCCATTTCGGCTGATTAGCCGCCGTTAGCCAGAAATATTAAGCTTCAGGTTTGGATGACCTGTGATTCGAATACGGATGCTTTGATCCTTTACTGTTAAGTAGTCCAAAGATCTAACAGTGCGCTACAGGTTCTTTGTACAGTCACTTATATTCGAAAGCTTGCAATATCTTAGGAAGATGCGTTCGTCGATCAGGTTATGGGACGTACTTTTGCCGTTCTACAGTGAGCTCAATCTAGAGTCCTCGAGTAGCGACCACTGGTATGTCTGGGAACTAGTTTTTATGACAAAAATATGGGAGAAAGCCCATACAAAGGGTTGAGCTGGACAATTATTTAGAAGGTCTTCCGGGGGTCAGGATTTGACTAAGTTATATATTTTCCGGTTAACAGAATCTAGATGCATTCACGAGACTTAAGTTGCCCAAAAAACTCCACAATGCGGAAGTTAAACTAGTGGGGAAAATTGGGAACGATAGTCGTTGTGTAATTCGTCGAATGAGGAAGCCGTAGACCTTCTTGACCGTTAACATATCCGAAAAAGGAAGACTGTCTGTTATTTTCAAAATGCCAACGAAAAATGGTAAGGGAAGTATTTTCTGCAATTCTCTAAGTTTATGCAGTAATCCATGTTTTTAGTTATTGCTATAGAAGAAAAATTTTCACATACATGAAGGACGCAAAAAGGCAGGTGTTTACGTGCCTAATGCAACAAATAATCGACATAAGATTTTCAGCTAAAGTCTATCTAAAGTTCAAGCTTTCTGAGCTAACCTATGTGATGCCTAGTCGTAAAACATTGTGAAGAGCTCAGTAAAGTAAAGTACTACCTCTGATTAACAAATACGGACGTTGTCCTATCTAGTGCATCTATATATCTACATATTTCGACACTTACATCTGAAGTCATTTAAGATGAATGTTAAAATTGATTTGACTAAAGACCCCCGAAAATAATCATCTAAACTACTATTCGGATGTGATTGTTAAGCCATTTTATTAAAATTATCAAATATGACGTACTTGGTAGGAAGTATAATGCAAATGCACATGGTGTAATTATATGCACACGGGCATTCCACTGAGAAGTTAAATGAAAAGAAGATGATTAGTCTGAATAGGATATGTTAATGATATCATGCTTGCTCCTCAATAATTTCATACGCATGTTTGAGCTTTTGAAAACATTTTTTAATCAGCAGCATTGAAATCTCAAGGCCCTTGTTCTCTCCCATTTTTTAATACTTTTAGCCAGCTGTGAAATCATCTGTATCACTATCGGTAAGTGATACAAGCAGTTAACCATATGGTCGGTTTTGCTACTCCCTACTGAATACATCAGTATTTAGACAATCTTCTTATCAATTTGGCCATAAGCCCTCAAGACAGACTATAGTGGACGATGGGGAGTTCGGAAACTGTCTAAAATGTAGTTCAAGTCGCTTGTTCGTCGAGTGCATAGAGAGCC